ATAGGTAAAGCTGCTCAGCAGCTGTGAACAACTTGCACTTTTTTTTGCAGTTGTTTTAAAATGTACTGAGTATTCGGTACATTTCCACGTCAAGTAGGGCAAAATTACACCTATACAAATAATTTATAATATTATTAGTATTTTTCAGATTATTTATAAAAGGCCCAATAATTTTTTTACCAGTTCTTTGAGCCAATTTATTGCAGTAAATCACGATCTTTAATTAAAGACAGGATATGTTTTAGTACCAATACAGGACATGAATCACTGTCACACGAGTATCAACCATGGGGCAAGCTTATCACAAATCCTAATGAACCCATTATTGAACAAACTGACCAAGGAGGCATTTTCAGGGTCGCAGTACTGTACATGATGGACAACATCCAAATTAATTCCAGGAAAACTATGCTAAAACTTATCATTGTCAAACTTTCACAATGTCTGACTGAACTTTATTAATACGGTACAGTACAGTAGTTCAAGGAGCCTCAGCCTACAAACCTTAATAATAAATAGGCTAAACCTAGGTTTTAAGGGAGCAGTTACATGCCACTTGGTACGAGTCAAATTTTACTTTCACTTCATTTTGTTCTATTGATACACACAGTATATTTTGGCACCCTCAAACCAGACAGTGGCTGCTTAGAGACCACAAAATGTTGAAAAGAATTTAGTAACCAACCAATTTGGAATACAGCATGGGGGTATTATTAATATTATAAATATTATAATACTATTAATACGCCTTTTTCACGAATCGGTAGACATCTTGAAGTGATGACAAACATTGCGAATCAGCGGTGCGTGACCAACAGAAATAAGATAAGCTTTTGGGCTGATTTTCTGACATCATGTTATTTAAAAAATCATAACTCCATAACGGTGCGTCGTATCCAAAAAGTGTTTCCAGGAAAATGTTCTTAAAAGACCAGTCTACACCACTATATGATTGAAAAAAAATTGAAAAAATTTTTTGACCTCTGAAATCAAGATTGAAAAAGAAAAGCCTATCTTAGTAATGTATTAAAATAGGCCAATGCATTACAGTGCAGTAGCATAGGACTTTCGAGTTGTTACTGTTCCAAGTAGCGATAATATACATATTTCTCTTATTACAAAGTACAAGTTATGTTTTATAAAGAGGTATAGTGTAGTAAATCATGTTTTTAACACAGGAAACTCTCATATGGTAACTAAAACAATGCTAGTTCAGAGTATTACTAGTACTACAGCACTGTAATGCATATACCTATTTTAATACTACTGAGATAGGCTTTTATTTTTCAATCTTGATTTCAGAGGTCAAAAAAATTTTTCAATTTTTTTTCAATCATATAGTGGTGTAGAATAGTCTTTTAAGAACATTTTGCTGGAATTTTTCTGTGGATACGACGCCCCGTTATAGAGTTATGATTTTTTAAATAACATGATGTCAAAAAATCCGCCCAAAAGCTTATCTTATTTCTGTTGGTTACGCACCGCTGATTCGCAATGTTTGTCATCACTTCAAGATGTCTACCGATTCGTGAAAAAGGCGTATACTATACCTCCATGATTTTTAGCAAAGGTGGGCATAAAAATAGGTCAAATTGGGGGGGGGGGGGTCATGACGAGACAAGTTTTACTTCTAGTCATGATCCCAATGATGGTGGTTTATTATTTGTAATAGTATAGTATACCATTATTATTTCCATCAATAAATGTCACTTGAATTCAAGTGAATTTTTGATAACACTGAGAACCACACCCAAACTGTGACACTTCCAGAAAAACCTTCATGCACTGCTATTACACCACTTTATGCCGATTTTTGATACTTGCTTGTCACGTACCTACTTTTTTACTACTTTACTCCACCCTAACCTTAACCTCAAGCAACTCCAGTCAGTCCAGGCAGGCATAGAACTACTAACTAGGATAACTATCTTAACTTAATGTTAAGGTTAGGGTGGAGTACTAATGTGCATTTATTAGCGCCAGCCTGTCCAACAGGAGGTAAAATGGGTCCTGGTTGCCGCTGGCGCCACCACTGAGTAGGCTAGGCCTAGCTAGCATTATGAGTGAAAAAGCAACCCGCGGCGTTTGTTAGTGACTGGACATCGTTTTGTTAGCAATCGTATCGTAGAAACTTACCAGAAGTGGTCAGACCTACTGACGATAGTCGTGCACGAAGATCAGTAACACGAAGCTTCTCCAATTCCTTTCGAGAAACCATGATGTATTTTATTAAAATAAATACTTGAGTAAAAACCGTTTATTCAACTTTTATGATCATTGATAGTTCACCGATCTCTCTAGTCCCTAGTACGACGCCATCTTCACGTTTTACCTTAACATGCGCTCTAAACAAGTATTTATCTTAAATATAAAAAAATATTTCTTTATATTTAATTAAGAGCTAAAAAGTACGTATAAAAATATGTTTAATTCAAATTAAATTTTAATTTTACCATGATTTACTTTTAAATATTAGTACTATTATATATATTAACGTTTTTGGAAATTTAAATTATTGTGACAAAGATGTCTGCGCCCAGCAGGTAAAGGGGTTTTTCTTCGCACAACGGGGAATTTGATTCATTGATCTACGTCTTAAAGTAAATAACACTTCAAATAATTACCAAGTGTAGTGGCACAAATTAAATGCCATTTTATAAAACTTTAAAGAATCAGAAATTTAGGTGTAGGCCTCGACTCATTCTCTGAATCTCTTTATATATGCAGCTAGGGCTACTACTACAGCTACTACTTTATAGGCTAGAGGATTGTGACTGTCTGGCCTTTTGCAGCTTATGCCTAGGTCTAGGCCTAGAGAGAGGCGGGCTAGGAGGAGCACTACTAGCTAGTACTAGGCTACAGCAGATGGTAGTAGAGAGTACTGTAAAGGCTAGCCTGATTAGGTGCAATGCATGGATTGTGGGTGTGCAGCTGAGGTCGAATATCTTTTCCAATGATGAGTTATGCCATAACTTATTTTTATGGTTAGGGTTATAATCATTCAGAAGATATTCGAACTCAGCTACATACCCACGGTCCATGGATCGCACCTGATCCCGCTCGCGCCTATAAGTAGCCCTAGGCTAGGCAAGTAGGAGTTCAGTAGGCCACCACAGCCTTTAGAATAAATGTACACAGGCCTAGTCTACTAGGGCAGACACCATAGTAAGGCCAAATAAAATAAATTCCTTTTTCCCTTCCCCTTTCTCACCATTTTTTTGGGCCCGCATCAATTTTTTTGTTTTTTGTTTATTTTTAAAACTGTTGGGTTTTTTTACATCGAAAATGCAAAATTTCAATTGCTGATACATTTTATAGTTTACAAATGCATTTAAATACAAAGACCATGCATGATAACAGCAAGCAATGACAAATTGAGAGAACATTCTTTGGCATGTTTTGATGAACTGTGAAAAATAACAAATATTAAATATTGAGTGCCTCTCTCACCAACTTTTTTAAAACCCTGGATGTGTAAGAAGGATTTGTTGTTACTTGGCCTAAAATAGACTTTGGTACAAGCATCAAGCAAGGAGCTTATTTAAATCTTTCATTTCATTGACAATATTTTAAAGTATTGTGCAAAATTTCCCAATTGTATAGATAAGGAACAAACAAGAGAATGATTTAAATTTAAGAGACTTACATAAACCAATCCATTACAACTATCTAATGCATGATTCTACTTTCCTCTGATGGCAGTTTTACATTCAATTCCTTTGTAAGTGTGGGGGGTATGAAATGCATTGCATTCATTGGCATAGTCTGACACCTGTACACAAATTAGAAAGCTGGAATAATCCATTTTATAGATAGGTGGAAACATACCTGTAGGGCAGTTATTTTTAGTGTTCACTTTTGTTTTGCTGATTATAAGAAATGATAGTTGTTTAAAAAAAATTAAATGTTTGCACACTATAAAATTTATTAACTATCAACTCATAATTGAAAGTGAAGACATATATGAATCAGGGCTTTACATAATTTGGTTTTAACCCCATTAAAGGAATTAGGCTATCTACCATTTCCACACTTTTCAATTCAAGATTCATGGTACTTAAGCTATTGTCTACGAATGTTGCAACAAGTGAAGTGTTTCCTCCAATTGGATCTTTTATTTTATTGTTTTATTTTTTGTGTTGGTTCTAGTTTGTCTGGATGACTACTAAGACAATATTTTAAAGCCCTATTCCTGGCAAAATTTCAGTTGTTAAGAAAAATCTGATTTTTGTATATGTTGTAAAGATTCATAAATATAATACGAAATTGCTAGTTTAACTGAATTTAAACAGTTCCTAAACATGGGAAAAATGTAAAATAAGACTGAAATTTGTATTTTGTATTCCACACAAAAAATAAATGCGGATGAATTTTTCATGTTTAAGAAGAAATATAGTAGGTGCCGAAAACATTTGCCTATATCCAACACTGCTAGGCCAGGCCTAGCCTTACCTTGATATAGGTTCTGTTATCACACATAAAAACAGCCGACATAATAGTAATCTCCTATTCTTTTGTGTAAAACTAAAATTTATGCCAATATTTTTCCATAATTTATAATAATTGGAGTAATGCATATGCATTTTTTCTAAAAAAAGAATTTTTAAGTGAAACTTTGCCGGGAATGTGGCTTTAAACTAAAAATTAAACTCTAATTTGTTGATCATGATATTAGTGAGGTTTTGAAATTGATAGAAAATGGTCTTATTGTTACTTTTCAGACCTGTTCTGAATTGTGCATGTTTTTACGTACCGCAATAAATGTATTTGAGTATCTACAGTCACTTATAAGAACATACTGTATTGCTAAGATCTTAACCAGATAAGATGATTATATATATATATTTTTTTAAATTGGTATTTTAAGTATTACATATTTTCCTCACTTTACTATTTTATCTATATTTTACACTTTAAGTCATGGACAATTTTGTTTGTGAATAATTTTGTTATCAGTATTGTTAATAAATTTATACAGGTAGTTTAATTTTTAAATTTTTCACTTTATTTTGTTGATAATATTTCTGAATATACATTTTATATATATATTTTTTAATATTGTATTTAGAATTACCCAAACATATACTGTATCAGGAAGTAAGTAAGTCTGTGTGACCTTTGACCATGTCCCGTGTTGCCAGAACAGCAAAGGATACTGGGAAGAAGGTAGTTCATAGCAATGTGATAAAGACTTACATCAAAGCTGGTCGAGCGGCACCTGGTCCTCCCCTTGGGCCTGTACTGGGACAAGTAAGTTCAATGTTCAAGTTCCCCTTATAATCCATTTATTGCTATTATAATGTTGTGTGTTTTTCTTAATGTTAATATTAATATAAATTACTGTTACATTAAATTGTCACTTCATATTGGGCACTGCATTCTACAGGATTCATGAAGAAATATACACAATACTAGAACTAGTGTAATACTTACTACATATCTTTAATACATATCATTGTTGGCATTAAGCGCTATATAAATATAACATATTATTATTATCAGACACCAGCCACTGTTTTGTGGACAAGTACAGACCCAAGATCATGTTGTGCTGTTAATACAGGATCTCCATGCCCTCTATCTCAAGTTGACATCCCCCAATTGGCAACATACAGTACTTCACCAATTGTAAATTTTGACTAATGTAGAATAAGTACGGACATAATTTAACCCCCATTATCATAGAACAGATACACAAAAACAAATAGTAAATCAACTTATGTGCTTGGATCATAAAAAATATAATATCTAGGCTTTACTTAATCCACACTCTTGTGTGCCATAATCAGTGGCATATCCAGTGGGTGTTTGGGGTGCTTTTGGGTTTATTTTACTCAATTGTCAAAAATAAAAAGAATTAGAAGGTAATTTAAGTTCCATTTCCGGCCACAAAATACTGAAAATTTTCTCACGCTACCACCAACCATGGTGGTACTGAAGTGGTGTGGACACTCATTTCATCAGCACCCCCCTTCCTTAAATCCTGTATACTCCAACTGATGGTGTTGTGGCATCCTCCCTCCACCATCCTTTTTTAACTTCTCATTTTTTCGTTAACAGAGAGGGATTCCCATCGGACAGTTTTGTAAGGACTTCAACGAGAAAACCAGTGGTATTAGGGACGGAATACCATTACCTACAGTTATTAGAATAAATGTAAGCAATTTACAGAAAATACCATTCACATTATGTTTGATAGTTTTGTAATCATGCAAATGTATACTTAATGTAAATGCATATTATGGAAAGTGACAGAAGTATTGTCACCATGTACTGTATGTGTAATACCAAACAAATCATTCAATTAAATTCAATAAGACATTTATTTTCTCCAATTGAAAACAAGATTCTCATGTAGTAGGGCCTACAGGTTAAATAGATAATGGGTATTTTACAATATGAAGCTTGACATGCTAAAAACAACATTAGTGACAAAAATTGCAAATTAAGTTTTTCATATATTCATATTCTCTACATTATAAGCTTTAAGTGATGGTCATACAGTATAATGGAATTGATTTACTATTGCTAAATTCATAAGTAAAACATTACAGCTTCTCTGTACTAAAGTACTGTATACAATACACTTCCACATTCCTACTAATTACTCAGTTCAACAATCTATACTGGTTTTTGGATGGTAAGCCTCAAATAAACAATGCCATGTAATAAAAAAAAAAAGAAACCTCTGATTTTTTTACGAAGTAAAGTTTAAAAAAATATTACAGATTGATGCTATTGATAATAATACTTCTGTTCCGTTTTCTACTAAAATTGCAGTCCGATAGAAGCTACACATTAGAAATCAATAAGCCGCCAGTGTCATACTTTATCAAGTCAGCGGCAGGTGTGTTGAAGGGTGCGCATAAACCAGGTGAGACAAAAACACATTTAAATTTATTTATCCTAAATAAAGTATTGGTAAAAATTTGGTATAATTTATTCAAAATATTAACACATCTGGATAACAGATACAGGTCTCTCCAATGAAAGACCACTTTTTTGACTGGGGTTTCCATTAAGCAGCTTTGGTCACTAATAAGATTAGTAAGGTAAAAGACATTTGTAACTATCAGACCACAGAAAAGTGGTCTTTAATTGGAGGGGTCTTTAATTAGAGGGAGACCTGTAATCTATAAAAAAAAAGTGTCAATGGTATTATTGTAAAAAAGTCAGGGTTTTATGGGTTCCGTTTTTATGATGAAAACCTTTTGACGATAGTGTCAATATAAGAGGTCACTTATTAAAAGTACAAGTTCTGCGAGTACTGTAGCATATCATTACAATATCTATGTTTTTCTGAAAATGCCGTTGGTTAAAACTTGTGAGGACCTCGGATTCTGTGTGAACCTAGTGGTGTAAGAGCTATGAGCTATTACTGGCTTAATGCCAAACCATCAGCATTATTTTTCTGCCTTAATTTTACTGAACAAACCATTTTAAGGAGCTAAAAAACATCAAAATACACCCTCAAAATGTCAAGAATAATGAAGCAGGCAGGATTGCAATATATACCACAATGAGCTCTACATGGACCCGGTCCCCATGGTAGTAGGGCCAGAAAAAGCCTTAGCTAGGGCCTCAGGCATCTTTGTTACACCACTGTTTGAACCATGGAAAACCTTGTACCTTGGGTTGTGAATCTCCCTATGGCTGAAATACAGGTTGTAGTACATACATATATAT